CTGGTGGGGGGGAGAAGGGGGAAGCAGGGGGCGGATGGGAGGTGTGTGTGGGGGAAGGGATGGGAAGTGTGTCGTATGCCACGTGTGGACTTGACATGTATGGGGATGTGAGGTGCATGCATGGCAGCACCCTCCCACGGCAGCACCCTCCCACTTCACGTTCCCACCACTGTCACACGGCTCACACTGTCACACGGCTCACACTGCACACGGCTCACACTGCACACGCTCACTTGCAGGTCCATGCGTAGAGCACCAGCTTACTTACATCTGACACGCCATGCACTCACACTTTGAGGCGTCTCAAGACTCACCCAGTTCACGTTTCCGCCGCCACTGTCGCATGGTTCACACGGCACACGCTCACACACGGGGCCAGGCAAGGAGCACCAGTCCACGTGGTGCATGTTGACGACCGTGAGAAGGAGAGGTGAAGCAACCCTCTGATTGAACCACTCACAAATTTCACGTTGCCGTCACCACCGGTGTCGCATGGTTCACAAGGCATGCGCTTGCAAACAGGGCCCCGCATGGTGCGCCAGGCTACTTGGTGCAACTTGGCCACCGTGAGAATGGGAGGCGCAGCAACCCTCCCATCACACCACCAACCCATCAAACCATCAAACCATCAACCCATCAAACCACCCATCCATCAAACCACCAACCCATCAAACCACTCACCCACTTCACGTTCCCTCCACCAGTGTCACAGGGTTCACAAGGCACGCGCTCGCACACAGGCCCAGGCGAGGAGCGCCAGTCCACGTGGCGCATGTTGACGACCGTGATGGCCATGGAGAATGCTTCCATGCCCGCCAGCCCCGCTGCCACACGGCCGAATGAGGACAGGTGCGTTACGAGCAGGCGGTCACTGGGAGGGATGTAGGGGCGGGGGAGGAGTGGGGATTTAGGGGAGTGATGATTAGGACAGGGGTTGAGTCGACTCAAGGCAAGCCACGTGGCGCATGATCACCATGTGGTGGCCATGGAGAATGCTCCCATGCCCGCCAGCCCCGCTGCTGTACGACCGAACGAGGAGAGGTGTGTTATGAGCAGGCGGTCGCTGGGAGGGAGGTGGGGAGTTAGGGGGGTTGCTGACAAACAGAGCACAGTGCTATATTAGGGCACAGCTTACCAGAAGCACAGCTTACCAGAAGCACAGCTTACCAGAAGCACAGCTTACCAGAAGCTGAGGAGCCAGATTTCGATGACAGTGGCAACGAGGTGCTGCTCTTTCCTGTTCTCCACCTCCTCGCTTGTTAGCCTGGCATGGGACCCGTGTGAGCGGAGGTGAACAACTTGGGAATGATACTGCTGCTATATTTATGAACAACAGCGAACCCAATCCCCCCAATCCCCCCAATCCCCCAGGGCGACAAGGCTGTCTTGGTAGGGTGAGGCGGGTGGGTGGGTGGGGTGGGTGGGAACAATAATCCAGGTGGGTCCCCTGCCCAACAGTGTGGGCACAATAATCCAGGTGGGTCCCCTGCCCAACAGTGTGGGCACAATAATCCAGGTGGGTCCCCTGCCCAACAGTGTGGGCACAATAATCCAGGTGGGTCCCCTGCCCAACAGTGTGGGCACAATAATCCAGGTGGGTCCCCTGCCCAACAGTGTGGGCACAATAATCCAGGTGGGTCCCCTGCCCAACAGTGTGGGCACAATAATCCAGGTGGGTCCCCTGCCCAACAGTGTGGGCACAATAATCCAGGTGGGTCCCCTGCCCAACAGTGTGGGCACAATAATCCAGGTGGGTCCCCTGCCCAACAGTGTGGGCACAATAATCCAGGTGGGTCCCCTGCCCAACAGTGTGGGCACAATAATCCAGGTGGGTCCCCTGCCCAACAGTGTGGGCACAATAATCCAGGTGGGTCCCCTGCCCAACAGTGTGGGCACAATAATCCAGGTGGGTCCCCTGCCCAACAGTGTGGGCACAATAATCCAGGTGGGTCCCCTGCCCAACAGTGTGGGCACAATAATCCAGGTGGGTCCCCTGCCCAACAGTGTGGGCACAATAATCCAGGTCCCCTGCCCAACAGTGTGGGCACAATAATCCAGGTCCCCTGCCCAACAGTGTGGGCACAATAATCCAGGTGGGTCCCCTGCCCAACAGTGTGGGCACAATAATCCAGGTGGGTCCCCTGCCCAACAGTGTGGGCACAATAATCCAGGTGGGTCCCCTGCCCAACAGTGTGGGCACAATAATCCAGGTGGGTCCCCTGCCCAACAGTGTGGGCACAATAATCCAGGTGGGTCCCCTGCCCAACAGTGTGGGCACAATAATCCAGGTGGGTCCCCTGCCCAACAGTGTGGGCACAATAATCCAGGTGGGTCCCCTGCCCAACAGTGTGGGCACAATAATCCAGGTCCCCTGCCCAACAGTGTGGGCACAATAATCCAGGTGGGTCCCCTGCCCAACAGTGTGGGCACAATAATCCAGGTCCCCTGCCCAACAGTGTGGGCACAATAATCCAGGTCCCCTGCCCAACAGTGTGGGCACAATAATCCAGGTGGGTCCCCTGCCCAACAGTGTGGGCACAATAATCCAGGTGGGTCCCCTGCCCAACAGTGTGGGCACAATAATCCAGGTGGGTCCCCTGCCCAACAGTGTGGGCACAATAATCCAGGTGGGTCCCCTGCCCAACAGTGTGGGCACAATAATCCAGGTGGGTCCCCTGCCCAACAGTGTGGGCACAATAATCCAGGTGGGTCCCCTGCCCAACAGTGTGGGCACAATAATCCAGGTGGGTCCCCTGCCCAACAGTGTGGGCACAATAATCCAGGTGGGTCCCCTGCCCAACAGTGTGGGCACAATAATCCAGGTCCCCTGCCCAACAGTGTGGGCACAATAATCCAGGTCCCCTGCCCAACAGTGTGGGCACAATAATCCAGGTGGGTCCCCTGCCCAACAGTGTGGGCACAATAATCCAGGTGGGTCCCCTGCCCAACAGTGTGGGCACAATAATCCAGGTGGGTCCCCTGCCCAACAGTGTGGGCACAATAATCCAGGTGGGTCCCCTGCCCAACAGTGTGGGCACAATAATCCAGGTGGGTCCCCTGCCCAACAGTGTGGGCACAATAATCCAGGTGGGTCCCCTGCCCAACAGTGTGGGCACAATAATCCAGGTGGGTCCCCTGCCCAACAGTGTGGGCACAATAATCCAGGTGGGTCCCCTGCCCAACAGTGTGGGCACAATAATCCAGGTGGGTCCCCTGCCCAACAGTGTGGGCACAATAATCCAGGTGGGTCCCCTGCCCAACAGTGTGGGCACAATAATCCAGGTGGGTCCCCTGCCCAACAGTGTGGGCACAATAATCCAGGTGGGTCCCCTGCCCAACAGTGTGGGCACAATAATCCAGGTGGGTCCCCTGCCCAACAGTGTGGGCACAATAATCCAGGTGGGTCCCCTGCCCAACAGTGTGGGCACAATAATCCAGGTGGGTCCCCTGCCCAACAGTGTGGGCACAATAATCCAGGTGGGTCCCCTGCCCAACAGTGTGGGCACAATAATCCAGGTCCCCTGCCCAACAGTGTGGGCACAATAATCCAGGTCCCCTGCCCAACAGTGTGGGCACAATAATCCAGGTGGGTCCCCTGCCCAACAGTGTGGGCACAATAATCCAGGTGGGTCCCCTGCCCAACAGTGTGGGCACAATAATCCAGGTGGGTCCCCTGCCCAACAGTGTGGGCACAATAATCCAGGTGGGTCCCCTGCCCAACAGTGTGGGCACAATAATCCAGGTGGGTCCCCTGCCCAACAGTGTGGGCACAATAATCCAGGTGGGTCCCCTGCCCAACAGTGTGGGCACAATAATCCAGGTGGGTCCCCTGCCCAACAGTGTGGGCACAATAATCCAGGTGGGTCCCCTGCCCAACAGTGTGGGCACAATAATCCAGGTGGGTCCCCTGCCCAACAGTGTGGGCACAATAATCCAGGTGGGTCCCCTGCCCAACAGTGTGGGCACAATAATCCAGGTGGGTCCCCTGCCCAACAGTGTGGGCACAATAATCCAGGTGGGTCCCCTGCCCAACAGTGTGGGCACAATAATCCAGGTGGGTCCCCTGCCCAACAGTGTGGGCACAATAATCCAGGTGGGTCCCCTGCCCAACAGTGTGGGCACAATAATCCAGGTGGGTCCCCTGCCCAACAGTGTGGGCACAATAATCCAGGTGGGTCCCCTGCCCAACAGTGTGGGCACAATAATCCAGGTGGGTCCCCTGCCCAACAGTGTGGGCAAATGCACGGCTCAAAATATATGTGAGAATGCCATAGTATACTCACGACCAGAAGGCAACGAGTGTGTTGCCGATGGGCATTTGCTGCGTGTAGTGCTCCTGCAGCTCCAACATGTGTTGCATCGATAAGGACGACACGAATACCCCCATGGTCATGTGCGGCGCGTGTGAGGGCTCCGTATTGATGGACTCGAGAAGAGCCTGGATAACAACAGCAAGCGACGAGAAGGAAGGGGAGGATGGCATGCCAGGCTTGTGTTTGCAAGAATAACGGGCAGGCTTGTGTTTGCAAGAATAACGGGCAGGCTTGTGTTTGCAAGAATAACGGGCAGGCTTGTGTTTGCAAGAATAACGGGCAGGCTTGTGTTTGCAAGAATAACGGGCAGCCTTGTGTTTGCAAGAATAACGGGCAGCCTTGTGTTTGCAAGAATAACGGGCAGCCTTGTGTTTCATTCTAGCATGTGCTTCATGCTGCTCGAATGCAGGCCAGGAAAGAGGTCACATGCAAGAAACGAGTTTGTGAGTGAGAACAAGCGGGACGAGAGGGAGGTTAGCTATGCTGTCTAGTTCCAAAAGGGTGCAAACTGACGACTTCTGAATGAGAGGAAGGAGGTGCCTCTTCCAAATCAGGGCTTGCATGGTGGCTACGACCCTCAGCATCATCATGTGTGCGTATGGCCGTGTGTGGGGTATTTAGTGAGGGGCAGAAGCCCAAGACTGAAGGATGTGCGCAGAGAGCGAGGGCAACAGCTCACAGTGAAGGCTATAGCACTCCCAGCATGAGCACGCTCACCTGTGAGTACGGCTGTGTGAAAGGCAGGTAACGCGACACTGCAGCCCCGCACTGGAGGATGCGAGCCGAGAGGGGCAGATGAATGCCGTCAGGTGAGCGGATCTGGTATGAAGGGGGGGAGTGAAAACAGATACAGGCACACACGCAAGGCAGGTGAAACAGAAGGGGCAGCAGAGGCTCCCATTCGGGTGGATGCCATGAGGCGAGCAGATCTGGTACCAGGAAGGAGAGCGAAGAAGACACACGAGATAGAACCAAGTCAGTCAGGTGGAGTGGAAGGTGTAGCAGAAATTATCGTTCAAAGGTGGCAGATGGATGAATGTCATCAGCAGACGGGATGTGCCACAGCGGGTGCGAACGCGGCAGACACATATGGGACAACAAGAGAGGTGAAATGGAAGGGGTCGCAAACCACCCTTGACGTAAGTATCGAGATTAGTTTAGATCCGCTTTCTGGTTATTTTCCTACCCTCAGCACATACTAGGTTTTTTTGGGGTTTCAACCCAACCTGCTCTATGATTCCTATGTCATTATTATATTCTTGCCACCTAACGTCCCAGGCTCTCAGGCTGGCTGGCACCTTGGTAGGCTTTAAACCAACCGGGTAGATGGGGCGTTCAGAAAGGAATGATTGCAACCGCAGCATCACATCCCACTGCAACCAAAGCAGCCTCAAACGCCCCACCTACCTGCAGGCCAGAGGGGTGAGAGAAGTGGGTGGGGATGGCATGAAAGGTGAAGCAGTACGCACCTATCATCTGGACACGGAGACTTGTACCACGCCAAGCAGCCTCACACCCCACATGTACTCGAATCAGCCTGCCCCCCCTCCCCCTCTGCCCACCCACCTGCAGGCCGAGGCGGTGGGAGAAGTGGGCGAGGTTGGCATGGAAGGCGGTGGTGATGTGCGCCCACAGCTCGTTGTCCGGATGCATTAAGAGGCGTGCTGCGTGGGTGAAGGCACGACCATCTGGGAACACCTCGCGTAGACGATCCTGTGGTCAGGGGTAATGGAGGGGGGTTTGAGAGGGGAGTGATGGAAGGTGGTGGTGGTGATGTGCGTCCACAGCTCGTTGTCCGGATGCATTGGGAGGCGCGCTGCGTGGGTGAACGCACGGCCATCGGGAAACAACTCACGCAGTCGGTCCTGTGATGGAGGGTGCTTGCATGGACACACGTGGGATGGGTGTCTGAGGGGTGGGCTGTATGGGTGAACACATGACCACTAGCAAAGGTGACACTTCAATCCTGTTGACTTTGGATTGCCTCTAGAGACACCACCTTTCAAAGATCCACAGAAGGCACGACACCGCACGTGAACAGCACATTTCCTACTCACCCACGGACTCAGGGATATAGGGGAGGCTGGGATTGACGTAAGCATCGACTTTTGCAAGAATTTGGGATAAACGCTAGCAACTCACCGCGGCCTCTGGAAAGTAGTGCCTTTTGAGTCATCTCTAATTTCGACCTCTGGCTGGGATGTAGTGCTGACTGGGAATGATGTTCGCATGGATGCTGGGCAGCCATCTCGTAGAAACACATCACATGGCAAGTGCACATCACATCACAACGCATCGCAAGTGCACAGCACATGTCAATCAAACTCACCGCGAACTCTGGAATGTAGTGCAGGCTGGGGATGGTGTAAGAATCGATGCCGGCCAGCCAGAAGGGCGCCACAGCAGCAGTGCTCCACAGGTCGCTGCAGAACATGTTCCACGTCCTGGTGGTTGGAAAGACCGGGTGAGCACGAGGAAGACGGGTGAGCACGAGGAAGACGGGTGAGCACGAGGAAGACGGGTGAGCACGAGGAAGAAGGGTGAGTTTATACAACAGCTGGGTGCACGGCAACAGCACAACCTATTTCCAGTGTGGCGCAGCCGGCATTGCAGCAGCAGTGGTGCACAGGACAGGGCGTTGCGAAACATATACCAGGACCCAATGGTGGGGCAGCACGGAGGCGTAGAAGAGAGCACTGCAGCACCGCTAGGTGCTTGCTGGGAAGTCAAGCCCCTCTCAGAAGAGTGTGGTGTGGTGACAGCACCGGTGCGGTGCACAGGTCAGTGCGAACATGTTGCAGGTCCCAGTGGTGGGGCTGCACGGGTGAAGAGAGGAGGCCTGTGGACGACGCAACGTGCATTGCAACGTGCATTGCAACCTGCGAGCAGTGGTCCTGTACACGACACACCGGAGTGGAGTGTGCTGCTTCCCAGCTCTCAGTGCATGGAAGGTGGGCTGAACAACGAAAGCAGGATACCTTGTTGCCGACTGAAGAACAGAGGATTGTGGAAGTGAAGCTACTCATTGCGAGGTGCAGCATCAGATGGACAGGAAGAGAAGAGTTCCTTGCTTGGAGGAGCATATATGAAGCTTGTTGATATCGAAATCATGCACGCACCATCCACCACTCACTTGCGACACATGTCCATCCACACCAAGCCGAGTTTTGAGTAGACTCAAAGCTCGTTTCATTCTTGAGTCGAATCAAAACCCACCACTCACCTGCGATACAGGTCCATCCACACGGCGCCTTTGTTGACCACCTGCCGTGGCAGGTCCGTGCGTGCCCCTCCTTGCGTCGCCTTCAGCTGCATAGCCATGGTGGTGAGCAGCAGGCGTGGCTTCTGAAACACTGTGCCCAGAATCAAGCTGCAGTGGGGGACGCATTCAGAAGAAACTAGTGCTTGTCTGTAAAGTTCATAAAAATCTTGTTCTGATACCCGTCCGGGCAGACAGGCAGAATAAATTCACTGTTTGTAGGGTGCTCATGATATTCTGAGCAGCATTTAGTTCAATCAACGGCTATGCCAGTCACCCGTGTCATTCGCAAGGTGTGCCGCACGAACCAATGTGTGCCACAGATGTCAGCATTGAACGATGGCTAATGCGCGGTCAAATGGAGCGAGCGAGAATGTGCATGCAATCCAGAGTGTTGAGTGCAGCCATCCAGAGTGTTGAGTGCAGCCATCCAGAGTGTTGAGTGCAGCCATCCTATGGCTGTCAACGCTGGCGAGAGAGAATTATGCGGGGGAGCGACCTGAGGGGTGGGGGTGAGAGTCGTGAATCTCTGTGAGGGGTGAGAGTGAGAGTCGTGAACCTCTGTGAGGGTGATACGGAGGGACGTACTCATAGGTGTGTGAATCAACGGTCCAGGAGGCGTTGGCGTGGGCGAAGGGGTTGCAGAAGCGGCGGGTGAGGAAGGCAGTCGGTGGTGTGATGATAGCCCGGCGGGTGAGAAGACCCAAGATGAACGCTGTGACGTATGCTGTGATTTTGTTTCCCACGCCTGCAGAATGGATGTGAGAATGATGCCATCGAGTGTACATGACGTGAAAACGGGATGCATTGTGGGAGCTCATCTTGACGTGAGGGCTCATCTTGACGTGAGGGCTCACCTGATTCTACTCGGCCCACCTTCTTTGTCAGGGCTTAAATGAAGCAGTTCTACGTCTCATTCCTAAGAAAGATTTACCTTGCTCAACGCTTGCTGTATCACCAACAGAAAGAATCCTCCTCGTCATTTTAGAATTCACCTCACTGCATCTCCCCTGGCAGACACAGAATGTCGCGGCAATGAAGCAGGTATGCATTGCTAGTAACTCACAGATAGCTCACTCACCCTGTCGCATTGCATGCACTGAGTCGTCTCAAAATTCGCACGGCTCTACTTGTCAGTTCCGCAGCAGAGTGTGGTCAGGCTAGCTCGACCGCGGCATGGCATGGCATGGCATGGCATGATATGGATGCACACAAGGGAGGTATGCACGAACGTCACTTCGTTTCATCTCCTCGTCTCGTTTCATGTCCTTGCCTCGTTTCACCTCCTCGCCTCGTTTCATCTCCTCACCTCGTTTCATGTCTTCTATCACAATGTAGCGGCATGGCTCCCTGTCAGGCCCATGACGTGGCAGGTGCTTGCTCCTGGCACACGACAACAACACAAGGCAAGGGCAGTCAGCATGTGGAGTCAGTCAGCGTGTGCTGTGACCAGTGTGAAGGGGAGGGTGCAATATCCGTCACCCATACAAACATCTCCGACCCTTCCCAATAATAGGCATACCATTTTCCTTTGTTGGCCACCCACGCCCACTGCTCTGCGCCTCCCTGCGCCACGCACTCCCTCTGCATTGCCTCAAAGGCCTCCACTGCACTCAAGAATGCGTTGGAGGGTGGGGCGGTGTTGGCCTGCACGCACATCACAGGTTGACGACAGGTGTCAGAGCACAAGAAATGTGTCAGAGCACAAGAAAGGTGTCAGAGCACAAGAAAGGTGTCAGAGCACAAGAAAGGTGTCAGAGCACAAGAAAGGTGTCAGAGCACAAGAAAGGTGTCAGAGCACAAGAAAGGTGTCAGAGCACAAGAAAGGTGTCAGAGCACAAGAAAGGTGTCAGAGCACAAGAAAGGTGTCAGAGCACAAGAAAGGCGTCAGAGCACAAGAAAGGTGTCAGAGCACAAGAAAGGCGTCAGAGCACAAGAAAGGCGTCAGCGCACAAGAAAGGCGTCAGAGCACAAGAAAGGCGTCAGTGCACAAGAAAGGCGACAGCGCACAAGAAAGGCGTCAGCGCACAAGACTGCACAGCATATGGCATTGCGGTCAGTCGTGCAAGTTGCGGCGCCATACCATGTACCCTACAGATACTACCCCTCTCACGCCATACCATGTTCTACAGATACCCTCTCACGCCATACCATGTTCTACCGATACCCTCTCACACATACCATGTTCTACAGATACCCTCTCACGCCATACCATGTTCTACAGATACCCTCTCACGACATACCATGTTCTACAGATACCCTCTCACGCCATATCGTGTGCTACAGACACCTCTCTCGCGCCATACCATGGTGCTACAGACACCTCTCTCGCGCCATACCGTGTGCTAGAGACACATCTCTCACGCCATACCGTGTGCTACAGACACCTCTCTCACGCCATACTGTGTGGTGCAGACACCTCTCTCATGCCATACCGTGTGCTAGAGACACCTCTCTCACGCCATACCGTGTGCTACAGACGCCTCTCTCACGCCATACCGTGTGCTAGAGACACCTCTCTCACGCCATACCGTGTGCTACAGATACCCTCTCACGCCATACCGTGTGGTACAGGTGTCGCTCCTGCTGGCTCCAGCACGAGTCAGCCGTGCGGTACAGCGTGTGGCGCCACGCCACAGATGCATCGAATCTGGACGGCGGATCCGGCAGCTCAAAGCCGCGTCCCATGTTACTCCCGCCACCGCCCCCGTTGCTTTCTAGTACCCTCCCCACTCTTTCGGTGCCTGCTCCTACGCTCATCGCTCCCTCGCTCCCTACGCCGCGTATCCCTGCGTCGTCGCTGCTCAAACCCTCGCCGCGTGCCTGGCCGCTGGGGGGCGTCGCGACGAGAGACAATGCCACCATGAATGTAACTGCGAGCTCGCACCGTTTCCGCCTGTCGAGCTCGAGCGTACCCATGCGCACTAGTGATGATCCGACACGCAATGATCGCTGTGCGAGAGGTGATCAGGGTGCTCAATCCGCTCCGATCTCCTTTGGGAGCTCTTTTCTACTCGGGTTGACCTGAGTCCTCACGTGTCAAGCATCGTCCCGACTTCAACACATTCTACTGTTATCGCAATCGTCGTACTAGGTCGTAAGGCGGCTTCGCCGGCAGATATCATCGGATGTCGCATTCAGAAGTCGCACGTTCAGTATCCGACGCCACATTCTCTATGTAAAACGTCCCGTCGTCGACCTCCTCTGAACATTGCCTCTGGCAAAATTGCCATGAGACCACGATTCCTAATAAACTAACTAGAAATTGCGATGGCCAAACTGACGGACAAGATGGCCTCATACAAAATTCTAACAACCGTTGATTCGGAATCTAATGCTGCTCATGGGTGGATGAAGGGACCAACCGACTCTACTGCTCTGACACAACGCGACTGCTGCTGGTTAGGAGGGACTCGCGATTCGATGGTCTTCAAATTACGCTGGTACAGTGCATGCGAACTATACCACAAATAGAGCAAGTGGGGGTGTTACGGGTGCAATGAATCGAGCGAGAATTGCACTAAGGTGTCAAACGAGTACAAAATGTGAGCGAAGGCATGAGCGAACATTTATACGCGAAACATGCAAACAGTAACGCGGTGCGTGCGAGCTAGCTAGTGCTACGCTGGAAGCGAGGCTCGGCTAGTCCCGAAGCGTAGGCCGACACGGCCGGTCCAGCAGTGTGAGGTTTGGGAAAACAGTGCGCGCGAAGTCGGCGAAGCCCCGTTAGCAGTAACGGGCAAACAACGGGTGCTGCTGTACGCGGTGTTGCAGGGTGCGCTAAGGAATATCGAGAAAATTCTTTACACTACCCCCCCCCCTCAAGAAGCCCCCTCCGCTACGCTAGTGCGTGTATATCGCGGAAACCCCGGCTCCTCAGGTACACTTGCAGGGCAGGGTGGTTTTCAATGTTGGCCAGGGGCACCCAGCTATCTTCAGTTGGCATGCGATCCTTCCAGCGAACGAGGAATTCAATCCTCCTGATTCCCATGGGGTGTCGAATCCAATGGCTCAGGATTTTTTCGGGCTCGATGATTGGCTCCGATGCAGGGCGAGTTATCGATGGCGGGCGGTGACGAGGCAGTTGGCTTGTGGTTGGGATGTATGGGCAAAGTAGGCTGACGTGGAACAAAGGGCTGAGATACCAGTCCGTCGGCAACAGGAGGTGGGTAATCATTGAGAAAATATGAACGAGAATGAATGAACTATGAAACAGTTGGGTACAAGTACTAACCCTAATTGGGTTGTACCCCATATGGGCTACCCCACTACAGCCTACACAAAAGCATAAGCTATAATGTTCTGACACACCCCCATAGGCAAAGTGGGGGAGAACAAGCGGTCACAAGACCAGTCAAGCAAAGCAAAGCAAAGCAAGCGCAGGGTGGATCACAAAGTCACCACACATTCCGAGCACAAGTTCAAGGCCACAAGGCCAGTTCACATGCATGAGTACATATATATAGAAAGCTAGACAAGCAAGAGCAGGTGTATATATATGTAACAATACAAGCAAGGTCAAAAGGTGAGCAAGTGAGGCAAGACAGGCACAAGACCAAGCTGAGTACAGAAGCGCTGATGATCACAAGGCGCAAGTGCCTTGGTGAAAACATCAGCAGTGTTGGCCTCAAAGGCCACGTACGCAAGTTGCAACTGACCACGCTGCTGCAACTCACGAGCAAGAAAGTAGCAAAGAGCAATGTGCTTCGTTCTGTGTTCCAGGCGCTGCTCCCGACACAAGGCTAGCATGGCCTTGTTGTCTACGTACAGGACTCGAGGAGAACGAGGCGGCTCTCCGAGGTCAGTCAGCAGGTAGGTAAGCCAGCAAAGCTCCTGTGCAGCCATGGCCCCGACGTAGATCTCAGCCTCACAACTGGAGCCGAGAACAGAAGACGAGCGAGTAGCCCGCCACGAAGTAGAGCCGGAACCAAGGCTGAAGGTGTAACCCTGTGACGAACGCTGCGTAGCCTGGTCCTCTGCCCAAGAAGCGTCCGCGTGCCTAGTGAGGACCACTGGACTCCGCCCTCCAAGCACTAGCCCCATGCCCGACGTACTGCACAAGTAGCGCAACACCCTCTTCGCTGCAGCCATGTGCTCTGGTCTGTGTCTCCCAGGAGCAACATAGCGTGCAAGAATGCTAAGAGGGTATGCAAGGTCAGGTCGTGTGCAGGTCATCAGGTACATGAGGCAGCCAACAAGCTCTGGGTACGGGCCACTCGACTCTACGGACTCATCCGAAGGCAGAGCTGAGAGTGAGTGGCGAGTAGACAGAGGAGTTGCCTGAGGCGAGGAGTACGTGAAGCCGAAGCGCTGAAGGACCTGCTGCACCATGTGTGACTGAGTCAGGGTAATGGTGCGGCGTGCTCTGTCCCGAGTGATCTGCAAGCCAAGGTAGCTGCGCAGTTCACCCAGGTCTGTGCACGTGTGTCTCTTCTGCAGCTCGGACTTCACGTGGGCGAGTCCAGCAGTCCAGCTGTGGCAAAGACCAAGTCGTCAACGTACACGAGGATGTAGAACGGCGGCAGAGAGGTGTCGGTGCGTAGAAACAGTGACGGGTCAGCAGTAGAGGGAGCAAACCCAAGAGCCGCAAGTGTAGTCCTCAGTGTGTCGTGCCACTCGCGCGGTGCCTGGCGGAGACCGTAGACTGGCCGTCGGAGGCTCCACTGGGTGCCAGGAGGGAAAGTCCCAGTGAAGCCAGGTGGACGGCGCAACCAGATCTCCTCGTGCAGGCTACCCTGCAGGAAAGCAGTGCTGAAGTCAAGGGAGTGAAGCTCGTAGTCACGCTGAGCAGCTACGTGTAGCAGCACCCGAGGGTGGTCATCTTCGAGGTGGGAGAGAAGGTCTGAAAGTAGTCAACTCCCTGCCGCTGACTGAAGCCACGAGCCACGTACCGCGCCTTGAAGACAGGTGGAGAGCCCGGCGGCCGCTTCACCCTGAAGATCCACATGCCACTAACGATGTTCGCCCCAGGAGGGGGAACCGCGTCAACGTAGGTGCCTGTGGACTTCCAGGAAGCCATCTCTGCATCCATAGCTGCCTGCCACTAAGAGGAGTAGGGACCCTCTACGCCCTCCGCGTAAGAGCGCGGTGTCGGGATGTCTAGTGCATCCGGGTCTCCCTCAGGGGTAAGCAGTACGGACGCGAGATGAGGTGAAGCAGCAGCCAGACACTGGAACTCCTCTTGCATGTCCTCAAGGACGTCCGTGCCAAGAGCACACTCACCCCCGACGGACGCAGGACAGACAGACGCAGACTCAGCAACAAGACTAGCAGCGTAGTCTAGACGACAGCGAGCAGCAAAGTCGACGAGCTCAGCAACAAGAGCAGACGCAGCAGTGGACTCAAAGGAGGGGTCAGTGACGACAGTAGCAAGGAGACGCGTGACAGTAGGACTGGCAGCACGAAGAGAGTCCGACTCAGGGTCGGCAAGCACAGGAAGAGAGGACTCAGGAGGAGAGGGCAAAGGGGCACGCAGAGGAGCAGTGGACGGACGCAGAGACATCCGGTGCGTGCCAGGGACAGGAGGAGGACACTGGCGCGAACTGCGACCACTAGTGCGAGCAGCACGAACAGGCGACGCAGGACGAGACGCAGGCTCACGACGCTCTGCAAGACATCCAGTAGGACCAGTGTACGGAGAAGGAGAAGGCAGTGGGGAG